AGAGAGAGAGAGAGAGAGAGAGAGAGAGAGAGAGAGAGAGAGAGACATGAAAGAAAAACGAGACGCCATCAGCGGGTGTTGCTGTGCAACGCAGCGTAGCCGTGGCGGGTTCCACTTGTTTTTGTAATGGTCGGGACATTTGCAGACCTGCTTACCGGTCCGGACCGTCCGAAACAATACCTGTCCGGAGGCCTGGATGTGTCCGGAAGTCCGGACGTCCGGACCTGACCGGGCATGCATCCAGTCCCCGGACATGAGCTGTCCAGGTCCAGGTCCGGCGTAGTCATGCAAATTATACCTCTAGTTTATTGTCAACCGCATTGCCTGAGCCTCCAAGGTCCTACCAGGCTCTGGACATGAGCTTCCGGGACATGAGCTGTCCGGGAAAGAACTTCACAAATTATCCCCAACTGGTCTGATTCCAGTTGGTCTCTTCTAGTGTGCATGGACTCCAAGTCACAGGCAAACCATCGAGCGTGACTCGAGAGAGGGGAAGCGCTGTATCAGTTGTCGTCATATTCAAAGGGTTTTTCGATTCGGAACGACGAGTTTGGTCATGATTTCAGTCTGGTTCATGTGCGCATGGACTCCAAGTCACAGGCATGTTCCTGCGTCTAAGTCATTCCTACTCTGACTTGTCTCTTCTAGTTGATCTGATCTGAAAAGACTGTAGCCTGACATCGATCTCTCTGTGTCATGTCATTAAAAAAAAAAAAAAAAAAAAGATCTCTGTGTCATTCCAACGCCGTGAGAACCAGCCGTGCAGGCAAGGTAAAAAAAAAAAAAAAAAAGGGAAAAAAAAAACTTTTAAAAAAAGGCAATAATAATTTCATTCCTTATCTGCCTTTGACCCAAATGTGGGAAAGTGAGCGTTGCAAAACAACGCGGAAAAAAATCAAATCACATCACCATAACGGAACCAAACAAGGTACTCCGGGAAAAAAAAAAAAAAAAAAAAAAAAGGTACTCCGGGCCATCATGAAGACAACACCCTGTTATGCCACATCAGACCAACGTTTTACTCCGGGCCATCATGAAGACAACACCCTGTTATGCCACATCAGACCAACAATTTTGCCAAATGATCACCGTCCTGTAAAACATGTGGCGTGGGTAATGAAGCTGTAAGACATGCAACATTCACAGAAGTAGAAACAGCATCGCACGTGGGTGACAGCTGTGTGCGTGACATGAAATGTGAGTGGAATATTTAGGGCGTCGCCCCACCACTCCCGGAAATGGGCATTTCCGGGAGTGCCTGTTGCCACACCAGCTGCTGGTATCAGTGTGTCGGATTGAATTCGGGAGCTGTCAGTTTTCCGTGCCCAAGAGCACTCCTGGATTTCCATTGCCCTCCCACCTGCAAACTGCCATTGTCGAGAGACCTTGGGCGGACCTACAAGTTTGGTTTTGAACATCCTGAGAAGACCGTGAAGGACAAAACTTTTATGTCAGACAGCTCGTGTCCGGATGTGACTTCCCTCAAATTTGGAATACAGGAGCGCCCAGTCAGAGAGCCCAGTGTGGCGAAGGCCACTCCCTAACGGGTTTCCACGAGTTTCAAGACTCGGGAGCACTCCCAAAAAATTTTCTTCGATTTGGGAGTGGTATGGCGAGGCCCTTAGATGTGCTGTGAGACATGTGACATGTGTAAACATGACATATGAGGTGGGTAAGGAAGCTATAAGACATGTGACATGCACAGAAGTGGGGGACAGCTGTGTGACACTACATGTGAGTGGACAGAAGAGGGAAAAAAAAAAGAGCAAAAAAAAAACATGTGAGTGGAATATTAGATGACCATAAATCACCTGCGCAAGGATGACATGCATAAATCGAGAAATGGTCCATAAAATAATTCAAAAAAAAAAAGAGATGATCTTCACAACCAGCGAATAAAATGTCTGCTCATTATAGCTGTACGTGGGGCAACTTTCGGTCTAGATACAGGGGTGATGAGTGCACAGAGTTCTATTCGAGGTAAGACGGTAGCTAAGGACGATCGTGTGTGGAATTTCATGTTGACGTCTTAGCTCAGCTCAGGTCGCTTAGACAGCCCAATTCAAACCCTGGACCCCAATATTTGGGCCCTTCAAACTCACAAACCCTAAACCTCCAAACCCCTTGTATACTAGATACCTCTCCAGTCAAAGTTACAGCCATCATGCTGATGAGAGTAAGCTGTGTTCACGGGAAGACCCATATTCATGCCCCTCCTTATCCCTAACTCAGATCTGAACTCAAAAAGACCATGACATCTCCTTTTTGCCAGTATTGCTTCACTATTCATGACACTATTCATCCACACATCTATTCACACATCTAGTGCTTCTCTCCACCTATTTATATGCCTCCCAAACTCAAGCCGTTGAGCTCGTCCCATTGCTTGCACTTGCTCGCTGAGAGAGACCTGGTTGGATTATGGCCGTTGAGTGTGTCCCATCGCTTGCATTAGTTCCATAAGAGAGAGACCTGGTCGAATCCCCGTCGAGCTCATCCGATTGCCTGCACTTGTTCGGTGACAGAGACCTAACCAAATGTCCGTTGAGTTTGTCCCATAACTTGCAATTGCTCTGTAAGAGAGCCAGAAGGGTCGAATGCCGTTTTTTCTTCTTTTTACTGGTCGAATGCCGTTTGTTCTTCTTTTTACTGGTCCAGAAGGGTGTGGGTTCAAATCCCAGACATAAAACCACCAAGAAATGTCGCAATTTCCATTTCCGCACCTCCACTTCACTTCAGACTTGTACATGCAGCATAGAGTTCTTTTGAAGGATGTCAATGCTCTTTCATCAACCATACAGAGGTACTCCTTTTGCCCTACCTTCTTCCCCCGAATACAACGCACAGTCATTATAGCTGTAATGACTGTACGTTGTATTCGGAGGAAGAAGGTAGTCTTCCCTTTGATTCTTCAACCCTCTGCCTCAATTTCTGTAACTTCTCCCCAACCGTCAGCTTCTGAAATTTCTCCACCCCTGTATGCTACCCTCCTAGTCAAGCGCTTCCGTATCTTCCGCTTCATTTTTCCCTTTTTTTTCAACATTCCTCTCAGACATTGCTGCCATCTCCTCCTTCAAATTTCTGATCTAAAAATAGAACACCTCGTCTCCTCTTCCAGCTCGCCGCCGCTCTCTATTCGCTTCGCTTTCTCTTCCCTGACTGCACCACGTGGCCCCATGCATTATGCCTCCAAGTTGGCGGCCGCCACCTCCTCAATTCACTTCTCCCACTCTGGCTTGTCACTGGCAACCTCCTCATCTTCCATCTTCACGACCCTTCTACCAACCATTTCCGCCCTTTCCGTCTTCATTTGTCTGACCACCTCTTCCAGCTCCTGGACCCTCTCTTCTTGTTTTCTCTCCTTTACCCGATGCTCTTCTCTCAATGCGTCCAGTGCCTCCATGCACTTGAGCTCCACGTTGGCTGCCACCTGTTGAATTATCTTCTCCCACTCTGGCGTGTCATCGACAAGCTCATCTTCCATCATCTGCACAACCTTCGACTTCCCTTTCGCCTCAACTATCGCTGTCATCTCTGCCTTCAGTTGTCGTACGTCCCCTTCCAGCTCCTGGACCCGCTCTTCTTGCTTGCTCTCCTTTACCCGATGCTCTTCTCTCAATGCATCAAGTGCCTTCATGAACTTGAGCTCCAAGTCGGCCGCCACCTGCTGAATTCTCTTCTCCCATTTTGGCTTGTTACTCATGGCCTCATCGTCCATCTCTGCAACCAATTTTCTCGATACCAGCGCTGGTCCATCGACATTATCATTATTCAATGTGTGGGCACGAAGCCTTTTCGCAGAGAAAGATTTCCCCTGCATCTTCTCCTCACTTTCCTCGCTTCCTCCTTTCGCTGCCACCACCACCTTCAGTACAGAGAACTGTCCTCGGAATCCGAAAGCGATCACATCGTTGGAGTTTTTACAGGGAGCAATACCCATAAGTTTATAGCTTCTTGGTCCCCAGCTATACCCAGGTACCAACTGAAGGTTGGACTCGTTCTGAAGCGCAATGCAAGGATCCGCATCCGCCGAAGTACAGATATAGGGCAAGTGTGGATGGAAGAAGGCGGTCTTAGGAACGTAAAAATCCAAATTAGGCATGGTCAATCTACCTAAGCAGACTCCCTTCTTGTAATCCCATACTAATACAACTCGGTCTTCGCTGAATGTGACGGAATTGTGATAGGAAAGCAACAATGATCTCTGGGGTCTACTGCAGAAGTCAAGCTGTGAAGTTACCCCATCGCCGCAAACCAGGGTTTGAACACACGACCTTGTGCTTATGTCCCATATCTTGATTGTGCTACTCCGTGAGGCACTTGCAAAGATATTCAAATCTCCCATATGAAACGCCAACACACCAGAGATCCCAAGAGCATGACCCTCAAACGTAATCTTCTCCCATTCTTTTTCCCAGTCCCACAGAGCCACGTGATCACTGAAAGCAGCCAATATATAGGGCAAGCTGGGATGGACCACGATGCTATCGTCGGAGCACTGTCGGGAATGCTCTAGGACTTTGACAAGGTAGAAGTTCGAAGCTTGGGCTTCATAAACAAAGGCCTTTTCAATGGCCTCTACCAAAATCCAGCCTTTTTGTGCAATAAATTTTGCATTGAAACTGCTATGCCAATTTTCCTCGGGAACTTCCCATGCGGCAACCTGTTCCATCTTCATAATTCCACACGGCAAGAGATTTGCGTGCCGGTGCGCACAGAACCCATGGTTGATGAGGATGCACATCAATCCAGTAAATGCTTACTGTCGATGTGTCTCGTGAACACGGCGTAACAGTCCATTGGAATTTTGATATTAATTGCACCTTCCCGTCTCCACCAGAGTTCCCCATGTTTGCCATGGAACCACAATTGAGGTCCCACTTGGGCCGTCGGGAGCTGTCGGGGCCTCCCTTGGGAGCTGCCAGTCCCTTGGGAGCTGCCGGGCCCCTGGGAGCTGCCGGCCCCTTGGGAGCTGCCGGGCCCCTCGGAGCTGCCGGGCCCTTGGGAGCTGCCGGGCCCTTGTGAGTTGCCTGGCAGTGGAAATATGCGTGCACAAGCAAAGCAAGCAAGGATGACACCCACAGCAATTGCTAATCACCGGGGCCATGCTAGACAAACACAGATTTGACATAACTGGCCATGCTGTGTGGCACCAGTTATCAGAGGTGCCACACTTACGCAAATCCGACATCGTATTGACAACCAGATGTGACTGGAGTACAACCCATGCGCCATTACTCGAAGCTCTTTGACTAAAATAGTAAAATCCAACACTGGCAATGTCGAGCGGAGGACAAGACTAACAGGTCAGCAGACTCAGCACCCAGTCAGAATGTTTTGTACTGCTGCTCCTCTCCCGTTTTTTACCATTAAAGAAAAGGGGAAAAGCAAACACAAAAAAGTTAAACCAGCAGTACATGTCCCTCCAGGCAACAGGCGAACCTGTTTTGAGCCTCTCCGGAAATTTAGGACGCCGAGCATCTTAGATAAAATGAACCGGTGGCGGGCGGCCTCCGAAAGGGGCCCGCGGCCAATTGCTGGCATGTACTGGTGCCTTAACGCCAGCTGAAGTCCCTCTTTCTTTATTGGACTATAATGACCAGATGTCCCCAAGCACTTTCCAGTCATTCTTCCATAATGGCACAAGCAGATGAACCGACAGCTTACCTCACCTCTGTCCCACTGTTTTCAACACATCAACGCATCAACAGTGACAAACCTCCCACTTCTCTCTCTGTCTCTTATACACATCTAGATGTGTATAAGAGACAGGCAACTGCCTGAATTTCCCCAGTTGCGTGGTAGTCC